GGGCTCTGCTTCTATAAAGATGACCCCAAACCCACTACCACTGAGGCCTGTTTGACCCATATGGACCCTACAGGACAAGTAGAACCATCCTTTAGGATTTCCAAGGTTGTATGTAAATCCTTACAACCACAGAAAGCCTCTTCTTTCCTGCACTGTGCAGCTGAGGAGTTTGAACTGCTGACCTTAAGGTTGGTTAGTAGGCCATTGAGTGAGCCACTACACCACTAAGTCTCCTTCTGTAAAGAACACAAGTCAGAAAACTCTGTGGAGGAGTTCTGCTTGATTTAAAAATACAAAAGGGCTTGCCATGAGTTAAAATCCTCTTGACAACAAAAAAGGGTTTTGTTTCATTTCAGGGGGTCAGCAATTTGGACAATATCTAATTAATTGGGACAAGATCAATGAAAGGATTCATCTCTCAAACATCTATCATGCTCTCCTATGTACCTGTAGCTGATTGATTTCTCATTATAAAGTGCATTAGTAAGGAACCAAGGTTTAAGGAGTAGGGAAGAAATGTAAGTCGTCTAATTTACGACTTATTAGCAACTCATAGGGTCGATGAGAGGAAAGTTGGGATGAACAACTGAAATGTTATTTTTAGGTTATGAATTTCATTTGCTCTCATTACCACAAAGGATGAAAAATTAGCTTCAAAAAATTCAAAGCAAGAAAGTAGAACACATTAAAATCCAGGAATTAATCAACTCATCATATTTGGAAACCCACCCTACCACCACCACCACCACCACTATTAAGATTCTTAGGTAATACGATGAAAGAAACAACACTGCATTACTTTATAGTCTCCATTACATTTTCTTACAGAAAAAAGGGCAAGCTATGTGATTAGTGAAAATTATTAGAAAGAGCAGACTTTTAGCTCTTGAGTCCCTAGTTACTGTCACAATAAGAAAACCTTACAGATGGTGTGCAGGGAAATTCACCTTTTTTCTTTAGCGCCCCAAATATATCTACAGTCCGTAAGTAACTATATGTATTACCCCATGTCAAATCAAGACTACTGTCAAACATTATTGCTATCAGTAGAATTACCACCTCTTTATGATTGGGAAGTGATGATAAATGGCAGTGGGCTTATTCTTCAAGTCTGTCCTCCATTACATGGGTATCTCGACATATACCCCCTCAGGCCTCATGTAACAAAGAATAAGATCTTTCTTTCAAGGGCTTCACAGTTTCCTGAAACAGATTTATGAGCATCATTGTATCCCTCTTGCCATACACTTGTGTTAGCTCAGTATCCAGGATAGATCGACAAGTGACAATCTTTGGAAAAAACCCTTGCTGTCAAGTGAATTCCTGCTCCTGATGGGTATCAGAATAGCACACTGGCTGGGTTTGTTGTTGTTGTTGGCAGTAAGTTGTCAGCCTTTCTTCTAAGGCAATTTGGGATGCACCTACACACCTAAAGTTTCCCTTAGTAGCCAAGTCCTTTAACGGTCTGCATACAAAGCTAACCAGGTAAATTTACAAAAATCAGTGCATTCCTCTTCAATTTCCCCAAACCCCATCAATTACGTCTTTAATAAGTTTACATTTTTATTTAATACCTCCACTGCTAGTTGCACTCCAGCATCAAGAGTTAGAGTTAGGAATACATCCTAAAACTTACACGCTAGGCACTCCCTCTACAATGCATAATGAACTTGCACACACATCAACGATGGCCTCCTTGTTTATGGACTCCCCACATGATCTCCATTCTCCTTGGCACCTGCCGTATATGCTGTTGTTGTTAGGTGCCATCGAATCTCTTCTGAACCCACAGCGACCCTGGGCACCACCCAAGGGTCCTGCACCATCCTCACAACCGTTCACGTGCTTGAGCCCATTGGTCCAGACACTGTCAATCCATCTCCTTGAGGGTCTTCCTCTCTTTTGCTCTCCCTCTACTGTACCATGTTCTCCTGAAAACATGTCCAAAGTGTGTGAGAGGAAGTCTTGTCACCCTTGCCTCTAAGGAGCACTCTTGCTCCTATTTCTCCCTAGACTTAAGTTTGTCCTTTAAGCAGTCTGTGGTACTTTCACTATAGCGCCACCATTCAAACACATCAATTCTTCTTTGGTCTTTCTTAGTCAATGTCCAACTTAGGCATACCAATACAACAACAGCAACAACAAAAAAGCACTGCCCTGGGGCATTCTATGCTGACTCATAGTGACCCACCCTGGCGGTTTCAGACTGTAACTCTTTATGGGAGTAGAAAGCCCAGTCTTTCTCAAGCTGCTGAAGCGGTTCCCAACTGCCCACCATGCAGAATCACACCCCAATGCACAACCGCTACGCCACCAGGGCTCCACATAGTGACCCTAGCTGATACTAATGTATGTTTTGTTTCAAAGAGCCTTTTGGTGTAAAGCAAACTTTCACAAAGCAAAGGATGCCCATTTCCAGATGCCAGCCACTCTCTGGGCCCTTCACTTTAAGACCATCAAACACAAAACTCATAGCTATTCAAAATGGAACTAAAGAAAGAAAGTAAATAAGAAGGCTGAGCTGGACTTAATCCTGTTTATTTAGATTCCATGGCCTGTAGTGTAATCGTGTTTAACAAGTGTCAGTTTATAAAGCTTGGATCATGCCTTTGGCCTTTCAGAGGGACCTGTTTTTAATTTTCCAACTGGGCTGCTGGTTTCCTTAGCTAATTCTGTGGGCTTCAGTGTGCAGTCCACACCTGCATAGGGGGAGTTTTCGATGGTGCGGTTAATAAACCAGGTACTTTCCATTAACTCAGTTACCAATTAGAAAACAGAAAGAAAAAAGAGAGCCTACTTGTTTGTGTTTTTTTAACTCCACATATGGAGACGGAAACTATTAAGCAAAGCAGGAGGAGGGAAACTCCCACATAGTTCACCTGACTGGACTGCTGTGAGATCCGCCCAGAGGCGAATGACCTACCTGGGAGGTGGACTAGGCTGTCCCAGGAGAAATCTGAGGTCAGACTCCACCTCAGGGAACCCTTTCTGCCTCTAGAGGATAAACACCACTGTCACTGAGTATTGCAAAGACTGGCCTGCCAGCTGGGGGCTGGAATCCTTCCCTGCGCCCAGGGGTGGTTGTGACCAGACTCCAGGCGGCAGGCTGCTTCCCAGACAGCTGTCCAGCAGGACACCCCTGGCCTCTGGTGCTTCAGCCTCCGGAGCTGTGGGCAGGCAGAAGTCTCCCGGGTCTCCCTCCTGTTGGCCGCGTCCGTACAGGCTTTGTTCCTTTGACTTGGGGGGTGACTACGCTCAAACTCACTGGGAAGTCTCCGCGAAGCAAAAGCTCAGAGCTCCCGGGAAGAGGAAAGCAGGGCACCCATAGCTCAGGCAAACTCAAAGCTAAGACGCTGACTGGGGACGAAGCCAAGGCACCCTCGCCTGACTCCGAGGACTGGGGTTCCTCCTCCGGTGCCAGGGCTTGGGACTTTGGCACGCAGCTAACTGCACGCAGAATAAGCCCGTCGCTCCTCGGGAAGAGCGGGTGCTGCGTGGCGGGGAGAGGCCCCAGGAGAGAAGTTCATAAGCAGCTGCAGGGCAGTGCGTAGCGCCGAACAAAGGAGCAACAGCGCGGGGTGAGAGGTTGGGGGGTGTGTGCAGCTGCCACTCCTGCCCAGCGAGTCCCCCGGAACCAGGAGGCGAGCGTGGGGGATGCAAGGTTTGGGGTCGCGGGGGGAGACGCCGGGGGACACCGTGCGATTCCTGTCGCGCGGCTACGCACCAGGAGTGCTGGCGAACGACGGGCACGGCAACGATCCGAGCCCAGGGGGGAAAAAGAGCCCGAGTGAGCAAAACAAAGAGCGAGTGTGGGCCGCCGCGGTGACTTCATGCCTCACCAATGTCCCGCCCACGCTGCGCGGAGCTCTTGCTGCCGCCGGGGCCGCGCCTCGGGGCCGCCGGGGCGCGCAGCTCCGGAGCGTGGGGCGGTTTCCTAGCAACCCGCG